TTCATGAGTTCAATCCCTGCATCGAGCTCTGTGCTGACAGCTCGGAGCCTAAAGCCTACTTCGGATTCTGTGTCTCCCTCTTTGTCCCTCACCCGCTTGTGCTCTGTCTCTATCTCAAAAATAAATAAACATTAAAAAAAATTCTCCATCTTTGGGGTGCCTGTGTGTCTCAGTCGACTAAGCGTCTGACTTCAGCTCAGGTCATGATCTCACAGTCTGTGAGTTCGAGCCCCGCATCGGGCTCTGTGCTGTCAGCTCAGAGCCTGGAGCCTACTTTTGATTCTGTGTCTCCCTCTCTCTCTGCCCCTCCCCTGCTCACTCTCTCAAAAATAAATAAACTTAAAAAAATTTTAAAAATAAAAATAAAAAAATTCTCCATCTCTAAAATACATCATTTGGGAACCAACCAGGTCTCTCCTTCTCAGCCTGCACATACAGGGTGATTCAGTTATTGTTCTTTAATTTCTGGCTATGGTGTCCCATGGTGTCTGAGTAAAACTGTGCTACTAGGCATAAACTATTCAGCTGTGACCCAGCTCCTCCCTATAATCCATTAAGTCCTCTCCTAATCTTATTTACCTTTTATTCTCCTGGCTGAGATGAGAGAGTGTCTGAAACAGCATCCATTAGGAAAGTAGGAATTCTTTTTCCTTTTGGAGTTTAGTGATATAAATCTTTGATGGCTGCGTCTTCAGAGAAAAGTCAAAGCAAACTCACTCACAGTGTCTGGTGCAAACTAGAAGTTCCCCTAGTTGCCTCTCTTACCCAGGTCCAGGCTGGCATGACAACACTAAGAAAGGGAGACAGAGGCAACAGACGGCTGGAGGGTTGCTGGTGAGAAACGAGGCAGGTACCCACATCTGAAGGCGTTTGTGGAGCACCCTGATCTCTGCTTTTGAGTTCACCGAATCTCCATTATATTCCTGGTCCTTTGGGGTCAGGACCCTATGTGGCTCCCTCATGTCCCACCCTTGGAAGTCTTGCTGACATTGTCTAACTCGTCCTGGTAACGGCTCTGTGCTAGGCAGGTGCGATTCTCACCAGACTGTTGTAGGGGAAATGGGGACATTCAGGCCAGGGAAGCTTCTAATTTCTCAGTGGAATAGATTGGGTCCTGTCTCTCTCAGCCCACTGTTTCTACCATTTACTTCCATTTTGGGGGGAAAAGAAACAAGAGAAAGAACACAGTTTCCTGCCCTTCTCGGGAGTCTATGATGTCCGAGGGCAAATTTGGGGGTCCAACATTTGTGGACATTTGTGTTCTTTCTGGGTCTTGTCTGTCTTGTCTTTTCCTATTTTCCCCCCTCCCTCCTTCTTGCTGGCCTTATTGTGAAAGGAAGGGCTCTTTCCCCTCCTCTCCTTTCTTCCGCCCTCCCCCATTTACCATTTTTTTTCCTTTTACCTCTCCGCTGTGGCCTCTTGACCTCCCCACAGAGTTACAAAAGTAAAATCCTTGAAGAGATGCCGCTGTGGGAATGTTAATGAGCCTTTCCCACAAAGGGGCAAAGACTTTACTTCACTGAGTTGGAAAAAAGCCCCTTTGAAAAGGGGTTTCTGTGTGTGGTGAAGTGGAGAGGGGAGGGGAAGGAGGGACAGGGAGGGAGAGAAAGAGCGAGAAAATGAAAGGAGGAGAGAGAAATGAGAGAGAGAAAAAGAGTGAGACACACACACATATATACACACACACAGGCAGAGACAGAGACAGAGAGAGACTGACTTACTAGCAGAAGAGAATATTAAAACAACTCTCTTCATTCTTCAAATGATGATTTGATTTTTGGAAAATGTTCCATGGTCTTTTTGACCTTGTAAATGAAGCGCTTACATTCCCAAGGAACTGAAGAGGCACTCGAGGGCATTGAAGATGATGAAGGATAGGAAAGGGGGACTTCTGGCACCCTACCCCCAGTTCCTTCCCGTAGGTAGGAGCCTGGGAGGCTCTGCGGGAATATTCTGGATGGGGCGAGCTGGTGGCGAAGATGGGCTCTTTCTTTTGGCTCTGTGGCTCCTTCTTATGCTATTTTCTAATTTTATCAACATTTTCTACGTTGGCCTTTCTATTGGCTGTTAGCCTAGTAATTTTTTTCTCCCATCAGGAATAGCTTAAAGTACTTTTGAGGTGTTTACATCCCAGAACCAATTATCAAGGCAGACCACTTGAGCATAATCCCTACATCTTTCATTTGTGAGCACAGGTCGCCTCTGACTTGGTTAAAACAGATGACAAGGTATTTTTAGTGTCAGAATTCCATCCTCAATAAGCAAAGATGGGTTGTTGCTTTTTAAAGAAAACCAGTCATTGTGTTGGACTCAGAGATTTTCCAACATGTTTTGTTTTGTGATGTCCGCATGACACCCCCCACCCCATCCCCCCTGTTAAAGACGCCCTGAACTGTGAGGAACAAAGGAAAGGTGATTGGAATGAGATTCTTGGAAGAGAAAGACGAAAGACGGGGAGCCAGTGAGGAATGCTAATTCCCAGAGCCATATACACCCTGTTGGATTCACCGGCACTTTTTGCAAGACCATCACAGGGGAGTTACGAATTCACATTCCTCCTCTCTCTCCTAGATCTACTGAATCTCTGGGGTGGGGCCCAAATTTTTAAATAAACCCTTAAATGATTCTTTCACAGAGCAAGTTTTAGACACTTGTATTTCACTGGTGGTTTCTAAACGAGGAGCTTTAGATTCCGAGGGAACTACAGTGTTGCAGGAAATCTATTCCATGTATGTGGGAAGGGAGCCCAGCCTGTGGCCAGAACAGATAACATGCCTCTCACATGCATTAACACCTGGGGTGGCCAAAAGTTTGTTGATGTTTTTTAATGTTTTATTTTTTTATTTTTAGGAAGGGGGAGCAGGCAGATAAAGAGGAAGAGCAAAGATCTGAAGTGGGCTCTGCTGACAGCAGAGAGCCTGATGTGGGGCTTGAACTCATGAGCCTCAAGATTAGGATCTGAGCCAAAGTCTGGGGCTTAACCAACTGAGCCACCCAGGCAGCCCCAGGATTAATGTGCTTTTAAGTCGTTTAAAAGGGTCTCTAAACTCATAGTGGCTTTTGTCCTGAAAATACAACTATAGTCATAAAGGGCCCTGCACATTTTTGGGGGCATTTTATTCAAGGCCTCTTCTGTCAGGACAATACACCGCTCTGAGCATACCTCCTTTTTCCTAGTTTGTAGAAGAGGAGGCGTGGTAGAGGCAGTTCCTCTCCCTTCCGTAGAGTCCTGTGAGGAGGAACTAAGTTCAGAATCTACAAAGGCGGGGAACATTTCTATTGATAACAGTAATCATAGTTTAGGTGCATTCTGTGTCCTATACCCTTTGAATATATAATCTCACTTAACCCTTAAAATAACTTTGTAAAGAAAGCATTATGTAATTATCATCTTAGACATTCGAACACTTCATTTTGCAAATGAGGAAACTGAGGCTTAGCTCATAAAGAGCTGATCAATGGCAGGTTGAAATTGCCCCCAGCAACGCCTGATTGGCATTGCCTGTTTTTTGGTCCCAGTGACACTTTATTGCCATCCCATTGATTTCTGCCTGTGTTATAGACCTCAGTTTCTGGCTGCAGACCTGGGAGATGACAAATGTCTAACTTCTAAACAAGATTTCCAGACCTACCAGTAAATATCTACAACAAATTTCAGTTCCCATAACTACCTACACTACCACGTCTTTTTTTGTCTTGCTAGCATTCAGAGAGTCAGGCAATAAAGAGTAAGGGGAAAGTGCCCTTTGCAAAAATTGACTAAATGAGAAAGCATGGGCAAACAATCCCTGGTCTTATTAGATGATTTCCGCCTGGCCTCTTTCAGGTGGCAGTTGCCATGGTGTTTTAGGGGCAAAGGGAGGGAGTGAAGATCAAGGAGGGTCATTCAGACTGAGGCTTGTCTGGTGTTTCTTTTCAGAGTTCCTTCTGCAATGGACGGCAGGACTTTAAACATTCATAAGAGGAAGGATAGGATTTATTCTTTTTGCTTTCCTTCATTTCTCCGTGTTACTCATGTTAAATAAAGGGGAAATGGAGTTTGTGAAGAGAAGGAGGTAGTGGAGCAGGAAAGGGAGGTTGTGGGGGAAGGGCCATGAGCCTGACCGGCAGTGGGAGGCAGCCAGGGTGGGGGCAGGGAAGACTGTGTGAGTGTGTGTGTTCACAGGGGAGAAATTATAGGAACAATTTTCTAAAATTCCAGAGATCCTGAGGTTGGACCTTTGAAAGAAAAGCAACAAAGGGTGGAGACCAGGTAAAAATAAACAGAAAAAAAGATAATCCCAGGCCATGAAAAAGGAAACCAGATCAGAGCGATAGGAAAGAAATAGTTAAGTTGTAGAGACCAGTCTTTGGAAGAATAGCACATAGAGAATGAAGTACCTCAGAAAATAGAGAGAATTGGCAACCTATGGTAGAAACATGGTCAGAGCCCTCAGGAAAAACCTCAAAGAAGAGGAGCAAGTAGACTCCCAAGGACTTTGGGAATGGAAGGGGCCAGAGGGATCATCTCTCAATCTCCAACTTTTCAGATAAGGAAACTAAGACTAAGAGAGGTTAAATGACTTCAAGAGGTTCTCCAGACCAGATCATAGCTCAGAGAAGTATCCTTTCCATTGTACCATGGAGCTGGAGGAGAGAGAGAGAGAGAATCCCAAGATACCTGAAAATAGCCTTAGGAAATAAACTCAATAAACTCACATGACATAATTAAAAATCTTGGAAAACAAACAAAAATTTGTCATTACCATTATGGTATTATGAAACCCCTTTTAAATTTAATATCTATTTAAAATGAAAGCATTAAAAATATATAATACAGGGGCGCCTTGGTGGCTCAGTTGGTTAAAGGGTCATGAGTTCAAGCCTTCTAGCGGGCTCTGCCCTGGGTGTGAAGCCTAAAATATATATAAATATATATAAATATAATACACACATATAATACAATTTTTACAAAAAACATATTTATATGAATTAAAAGATATTTTTTTAGGTAATCTCTACACCCAGCGTGGGGCTTGAACCCACACCCTAAGATCAAGAGTCACATGCTCTACTGACTGAGCCAGCCAGGCGCCCCTACATGAAATTATAGTTTGGCTGTTCTCTGATGCCCACTGATTACTCACTCTATGCTAGGTGAGCATGCTGTATGTGAACATACCCTCATGTCCTTTCTACCTTACAGGTACTTCTTTTGAAAGCCTACTTCACTTCTAGAGCCATTTGTATTGGAGGAATCTGACAATAGCTTTAACTACTTTGTTTTTTCTGTATCTATATCAGTCAACAAAATGTGTCCATTGCAACAATTTCTACATACAATTTTACAATAAAAAAATGGGAGTCAGTTTCTAAAGCCATCACTTTTTTAAAAAAAAAGTTTATTTATTTTGAGAGAGAGAGAAGGGGTAGAGCAGAGAGAGAGAGAGAGAGAGAGAGAGAGAGAGAGAATCCCAAGCAGGCTCGGTGCTGTCAGTGAAGAGCCTGACAAGGGGCTTGAACTCACGAACTGTGAAATCACGGCCTGAGTCGAAACCAAAAGTTCGACACTTAACCCCGACTTAGCTGCCCAGGCACCCCTGAAGCCATCACTTAGGACAAAAGTCACATAGAGACAAAGCTGAAAAAACCCTTAGGAAGAATCCACCAGAGACTAGTTTGACAGATGATGGTTTCTCTGGCTGAGTATAGAATGATATAAGTGGCCTGCATTTAGGGGGTGGGTACAATAAAAAACATGCACCTGAAATATTTACTTATTTATTTATTCATTCATTCATTCATTCATCTCTGTGCCAAATGTGGAGCTGGAACTCATGACCTCAGGATTAAGAGTTGCATGCTCTACTGACTGAGCCAGCCAGGCATCCATACACTTTTATATTTTTTAAGATTTTTTTTTGAGAGAGAGAGAGAGTCAGCAGAGGAGAAGGGCAGAAGGGAGAGAGAGAGAGTGAGAGAGAGAGAATCTTAAGAAGACTTAATGCTCAGCATGGAGCCTGACTCAGGGCTCAATCCCAAGACCCTGGGATCATGACCTGAGCTGAAATCAAGAGTCGGATGCTCAACCAACTGAGCTACCCAGACACCCCTAATATACATTTTCATTTATTTATTTAAAAATTTGTTATGTTTATTTATTTTTGAGAGAGAGAGAAAGAGACAGAGAGAGAGAACACGCAGGGAAGGGGCAGAGAGAGAGGGAGACACAGAATCTGAAGCAGGCTCCAGGCTCTGAGTTGTCAGAACAGAGCCTGATGCGGAGCTTGAACCCATGAACCATGAGATCATGACTTGAGCTGAAGTCGGATGCTCCACTGACTGAGCCATTCGGGTGCCCCTAATATGCTCCTTTAATATAAAATCACACTCATATTAGAAAGGGACAAGACACCTGAGATTCAGTCTGGGTTCATTGAGTGGACAGCCAGAGTTTGAATGACTGTATTCTTTACATTGTTGTTTGTCTCTTTCTTTTGTAGACCTTAATGTAATTATAATTTAATTTACATAATAAAATTTAATTTAGATTAAATTAATTTAAAATATTAAAATCCATCAACCACCCTCAGACCTGCTGATCTCTGTGATCTCCAGGAATAAGTCCAGTCAAAAACCAAAGCAGCTTATAGGTTTATGAATCTCTTGTCTCCAGATGGCAGAATCACCTCAGGATTTAAATCCAAGCCTAGACCAGAGAAATCCTTTCCTTCTTTTGGGACATAGGACCCAGCTAAGTCTTTCAATTAATTATACTCTCAACAAACATTTTCCAAACACGTTTCATATTTCAGACATTGGGCCTGCATTCAGGCTGCAAGTAGAATAAAAATATTTTTTTTTCTCAACATGTAATCACACTCATGACCCTATCAAGAGAGACACAAGAGAACTGAGATGCTGGGGTTACAAAGGTAAATCAGACATGGACCCTGTGACTCCTAGAAAAGAGGGGCAATGTTAAACAGAAATATAACATAATGTGCAAAAATTCTGTAGAAGCCTACATAAAGTTCCATGGAAAGAAGGGAGATTGATTTGGATTGATTGTTCACAGGCAATAAATTATCCATCTCTCCATTCTTCCCCCCTGTCTTTTCATCCACCATCCATCCATCCATCCATCCATCCACCCATGATAGGGAAAGATAGGATAAAATAGGCAGAGAGGGAAAAGTTAGGACCTGAGCTCCCTGGGTGGGAAAGAACACATATTTTGGAACAACATTGGGAGCTTTAGACTACGGCAAACCCCCTCTGGGGTAAGGGTCTCTTAAGAATGTAACAGGGGCGCCTGGGTAGCTCAGTCAGTTAAGCATCCGACTTCGGCTCAGGTCATGATCTCGCGGTCTGTGAGTTTGAACTCCGCATCAGGCTCTGTGCTGACAGCTCTGAGCTGACAGCTTGCTTCCGATTCTGTGCCTCCCTCTCTCTCTGCCCCTCCCCGCTCATGCTTGCTCTCTCTCTTTCTCAAAAATAAATAAACATTAAAAAGAAAAAAAAAAAGAATGTAACAGACATCACCTACTCCCCCTCAGGTTCCCCGCCAGAATTTGACAATCAAAACACCTAACTAAAAGAAGTAAATCATAAAACTTAGGTTATATGAAGGACAGTCTCACCAGTCTGACTCCTCAGACAATGGAGTGGAGCCAATCAGGAATGGGCGGCCCAGCACCTAGAGTTATCTACCTGGTAAGTGTAGAACCTGAGAGGGAAAGAGGGGGGAAGGGAAGGAGGGCTGACCAGAACCTTATAAAACAAGGACCCTTGCCTGTATTTGCGGGCATTTACTCTCGAAAATCCCCTGTCTGCAAAGAGAGCTTTCCTACTATTCTTACTTTCTAATCTTATACTCTAATAAACTTAGAGGTTATTAAGTTTATTAATAATCTGCTCATTTTGTGTCCACCTCTTCATTCTTCAAACAGGCAAGACAATGAACCCTGGGTATTGAGGTAAAAAATCCTAAAAAAAAAAAAATCCTGCAACACATCCATTCATCCATCCATCCATCCATCCATCCATCCATCCAACAAATGTCTGTGGTTAGTTACTACATGCAAAGCACTGTGCTAGAAGTTACAAATGAAAAGAAAATAAAAACAGGTCCTTCTTGGGGCATCTGGGTGGCTCAGTTGGTTAAGCTTACGACTTCGGCTCAGGTCATGATCTAACAGTTCGTGGGTTCAAGCCCCGCATAGGGCTCTGTGCTGACAGCTAGCTCAGAGCCTGGAGCCTGTTTTGGATTCTGTATCTCCCTCTCTCTCTGGCCCTCCCCTGCTCACGCTGTTTCTCTCTCTCTCTCTCTCTCTCTCTCTCTCTCTCAGAAATAAATAAAACATTAAACAAAATAAAAAAAAAACACAGGTCCTTCTTGAAGGAGTGTTAACTTGGCATAAAGGATGAAAACAGGTAAGCACGTAATGTTAATAGATTATGGGCCACTTCTTTCTGAAGAGGCTACATGAGGCCTCTTACGGTAATCTTGTGAGGTGGATATTATCATCCTCCTTTTACCAGTTAGGAAATTGAGGTTTAGAGAGATTAGTAATTTGCTGAGGGTCATGTGGTTGTGAATTATGGAACTGAGGCTCTAACACATGTATCTTATAACAAAGTCTGTGCTCCAAAGAATCTGTGGATTGTGTGAGACTCTTTGGGTTTAAAGTGTCTTCACCACCTATCAGCTGCATCACTTTGGGCATTTTGCTTAACTTCTCTGAGCCTCAGTATCCTCATATAAAAGTGAGGTCATTAGTATCTACTTCATTAGATTGGGGTGGAGATTTAATAAAACTCAATTAAAGAATCTGTGCTGGTGCCTGGCCAATCTTTCAAGCTCATTACATTTGATGACTCATATTATTTCCCTGGCCTGTATAGGTAGCAAGTGCTGAGTTCTATGAGAGTTGCGCATCAAACCTGTCCACAGTCAGAAGGAAAGGCCACTTCCATTTGGAGAGCAGGAGGGTGAGTAGATTAAAAGTAGGACCAGAAAGAATTCATTTAAATTGGAATTTTTTTTTTAAAAAAGTAAGACTTGAACATTCAGACTCTAAAATCTAAAGCAGAAGTCTCTGCGGCAGGCAGCAAGGAGCTTCGTGTTACCTGTGGGAGGTGACGAGCAATAGAAAGGCAAGCAAATAAATTAGGTAATTACCAAAAGTGGTAATTAAACTGGGGAATGGGAGAGAAAGTGAGGAGGAAGGGTGGGGCTGGTGGGTAAGGGAACCTGAGGGAAGACTAGATTCAATCTCCAGGTAGAAGGCTGTTCATATGTAGATTGACTGCTATCTGTGAATGGATACTGGTTATTGGCCCAAGCTGACGGAAATGCAAATACTCTTAGAAATGACTGTTAGTAATGCAAATATGGAAAACCTCTGATTTAAGCAGAACAACAACAAAACACCGTCATCAATCTTTGAATGAGGACATTTACATCCTTATGAATTTGATGAGAAAAAAGGACAATGTTTTTTTCTTCGTCCTTAGTTTGTCTTCTCTCCAGCTAGAACTAAGAACAATTAGTCAAGGTCATCCTATTTTTATTGCTCATCTATTAAACCATTCATTCAACAAATATATTCTTGAGAACTTACTACGTGCCTGACGCTATACCCTGCCTGGTCTTTCCCTGGAGTTCTGTCTCTTGCTCCAGAGGGCTTTGGGAATAGGACACAAGAGAACCCAAGACAGGGGCTGGCACTTGTCTGCAGTCAAGTTTTTGGATAGAGACGGGAGAGGACCTGGTAATATCCAGGGCTTGGAGTGTGTCCTGAAATAATCTATGGTGAGAAGACAAAGTACACTTGATGGAAGAGGTTTTGAAAAGATATTAATGTCCCCAAATTTTATTTAAACTAAAACACTGTCTGCTTTTTACATTCCTCTGTGGATCTCATTCCACCTCATCACTCCTCCTGTACCTGTCCTTGTCTTTTGCTGTCCAAATGTACCAAATAAATCTTCTTTTTCTTTGCACCCATTCCAACTCCCGCTGTTCTTTACAGCCCGTCTCTGGGCTCAGCCCCAAGCCTTGAGGGGCAGTCAATGGCTTCTGAGTTGC